TGCCCAGCGTGTGCCCTGTTTTTCCACGCAGGTGACAAGCGCCTTCGAGCTCTACATATGCTACAGTCCCCTGGGGACCAAGGCCGGCGCCATCAGCGCTGGCAACAAGCTCATGAAGTGGATCCGCAAGGAGGAAGACCGGCTCTTCATCCTCACGCCCCAGACGTACTGACAGGCATCGCCCAGGGCATGGTGCCAGCTGGGGGAGCCCCCGCGGCGCCGGGGAGCCTGACCCCCAGGGAGGCCTGGGCCATGAGGCCCCGGGGAGCCTTACCCCCAGGGAGGCCTGGGCCGTGAGGCCAGGGGAGAGGGCATGGTGGGACCCCGGAGCACGGGGAAGCCCACCCACGGGACTGTCCAACCTAGGTGTCAGAGACGGGGCACACAGCTGCTAGGGGAAGGGGTGAGCAGGACTTTCATCTGCAGGCCGTGCCCCCCAGCTGGGGGGCTGCCCTTCCTCTGTGCCCCCCAGCTCCATCCTTCGTTGCGGGGGTTCTGGAGCGGGGCTGCTGGTACCCTGGGTTGACGGAGGGGAGCTAAGCCCCTGGGTCCTGCTGCCTGTGCCTGGCACCCCCCTTTTTCTGTGCCATCCTGCAACCGGTCCAGGGGTGGGGGTGCCTGTGGGGAGAATGTGGCAGCACTCAGAGGACCCCTGTGCTGCTGTGCCCACAGGTGGTGGGTGACACCACCCGGGAGGGGCACAGGGTTGGCCTGGGGCATGCACTGCTCCTCTCCTAGCTCTGGGGGATCCGGGTCCCCCTCGTGCCGGGCAGCCCCTGGCAGTCCCGGAGCCCTTCGAGCCAGCGATGCTGAGCCTGCTGCACGGGGTCACCTCCTCCCCCCCAAACGCCGCGGCACGGCGTGACCCTGTGTTTTGGGGCTGCCAACCGGGCGCTGGGATGGGTGTTCGGGGAGGGGCAGAGCCACCACCCGGGTGGCACAGAGGGGGCTCGGAAGGACCCGGTAGGGCTCTGCTCCCGTGTTTCCTGACAGAGTGTAATCGCTTGTCTTTGCTCATAAACATTATCTGGACCCCAAGTCGAGTCTCATTTGTGGGTGTCCATACGAGGAGGGGCAGATGGGCTGGGGGGGTTGGTCCAGGTTTGGGTGGCATCTCCCACTCCAGGGCAAGCAGCACCCCG